TACCATCATCTTTTGCCTGGGTTACTGCAACAGGACCTGTCACTCTACAGACTATTTTCAACCTGGGAGCCAAGGTAACCAATATAAAGCCTAAATCTTACGAAGTCAATCTTCTGCCAATAGCCTCTCAGTGTCAGACACACACGGCCTTTCACCATCTGGCCTAGTGCTTCTCTGACCTCATATCACATGATTTTCTTTCTGGGTTACTCTTCTTTAGCTACAGTGGCCTCCTGGCTGTTGCTTCAAATTACCAGACCTGTCCCCACCCTAGGGTTTGCAAATTGTTCTCGTAGTCTGGAATGCTCTTTCTTCAGATATGTGCAGGTATCTCCTTCACTTTCAAATCATTCTTCAAATACTACTTTCTCAGTGAGTCCTGCTTCAACTGCCCAATTTAAAAATTACATCTTCCCCTTTCCTCCTGTGCTTGGTCTCATTCCACGTTCCTTCCCATATAAACTTTTCTGATGACACTCATGACCTTCTAACATACTATATAATTTAGGTATTTATTTTAGGTATTTATTTTTATTGTCTAACTCCTACTAGCATGTGAGTTTGATGATGGCATAGGTTTTTTCTGTTTTGTTCACTGCTATATCTGCAGCTTCGAGAATACTGTCAGGTACATAGTAGGCCCACAACAATCTGTTGAAATGTAAAAGTTGTCTGATTCCAGTACAAGAGTATTACATATTGGATTCCATGAGAATGGGAACAACTAAGTTTTCATGTGCCTGAAGAGCTCAAAGGGTCTTTGGAATGCTGGTATTCCATGGTTCCCTTACCATTCTGACTCTCAAAAACATAATCATTTTTTCAACAGCCAAGCACTAATTTTAAAAGACCCTGGACTGTGAAATCTACAATGACAGGTCCCTAAGAGGATGATCATGATTACAGTTCTACAAGCTACCTGGTACTGTATAATTTTTTTTTTTAACATTTATTTTCAAATCATTGTACTGCTTTTCCTTATGAATGGAATTGGAAGGTAGGGGAAGCCAATTTGATTACACATCAATAATTTTGTGACACCCCCACCCCCTGCAGTGCATCAGCATATCTGATACATCTTTTCATGTTGGTTTCTCTTTTGAAATGTGTAACATCAAGCAGGGCATGGCAGCTCAATCCTGTAATCCCAGCACTTTGGAAGGCTGAGGCAGGAGGATCTCTTGAGCCTAGGAGTTTGAGACCAGCCTGGGCAACATAGGGAGATCCCCATCTATACACAAAATTTAAAAATTAGCTGAGTGTAGTGGCACATGCCTGTAGTCCCAGCTACTGAGGAGGCTGAGGTGGAAGGATTGTTTGAGCCCAGAAGGTTGAGGCTACAGTGAGCTATGATTGCATGACTGCACTCCAGTCTGGGCAACAGAGAGGGAAACCCCATTTCAAAAGAAAAAAAAAAAAAAAGCAAGCCCTGAATACTTTTGTAATTTTTGTAGTACAAATGCTGAAATTATTCTGCACAACTTTAGGATCCATCCTTTGGCTATTTCCATTTTGAAGGAACATAGAATTTCAGGGCTGTAAGGTTTTAGTTTATTTGGTTCTATCATCTCATTCTACAGATAAAAAACTGGAGTTCAGTGATGTTAAGTGACTTGCTCAGGTACTACCGGGCTGAGTAATCTTTTTGGTCAGAATGACTTGTTCTAAACATAAAACAAGATACTTTTGAGAATGCAATTGGAAAACAGTTCTGAACATCAAAAAACGAATCTAGCAACAATTGCAATATACAGTTCTAAACAATATGCAGTCTACCCCAGTTTATTTTCATGGTGACAACTTAAGCATTAAAAATAGAAGGCAAATATAGCAAAGGATGAAATAATTGATAGAAAATAAAAAGGCCCCACAAGTATCCTAACAAGTAAGAGTTATGAATCTCAAAACGACAAAGAATTTCCAGGTCACCTGAACTGTTACTGTGGCATCCACATGAGAAGAAACCACTTCTGGCCAGGCGCAGTGGCTCATGCCTGTAATCCCAGCACTTTGGAAGGCCGAGGCAGGCAGATCACAAGGTCAGGAGTTTGAGACCAGCCTGACCAACATGGTGAAACCCCGTCTCCACTAAAAATACAAAAATTAACTGGGCATGGTGTCGCACATCTGTAATCCCAGCTACTCAGGAAGCTGAGGCAGGAGAATCGTTTGAATCGGGGAGGTGGAGGTTGTAGTGAGCCGAGATAGGGCCACTGCACTCCAGCTTGGGTGACAGAGTGAGACTCTGTCTCAAAAAATAATAATAAAAAGAAATCACTTCCATGGAATCAGAGAGATGGTTCCATATTAGCCATGACTTCTGCTGTTCTTTTGAGAATGTGGGCTTACTATCTAATCATTTTAAGATGCCCATGAGCACTTTTACTTAGATATATGCACTTTCTCTTTGCACTAGTGAGTCTATGTGAATGTTACATGCCAGAGGAACGTAAAAGTCTACACTTACAATGCTTCATTTTTCTTTAAGAATTTTGTCCAGGTCATGGAGACATTTTTGTGGAGTGATAAATTAACTTCGTCTCCTGATGCGTTTTCCCCAGATGCCTTGGAAATCACTTGTTTTTCTGAGAGGTGTTAGTCATCAAAATCTTAACTTTAGCAACAGCTTTGCTGTTCTAGTTTTGTTATAATCAAGATACCCTAGTACCATTGATAGTTTAGGATACTTGATATGAATGTAATGGAAAAATATTTTTGGCCCTTTGTATATAGCAATGGTCTCAAACTATGAGAAAAATTATGGCTAAATCAGATTTTCAAAAATAGATTTTAAGACATTCCAGGAGCTAGGAACCTGGTTAACTCATGTGACTTTAAAACTCAGATCTCTGCCAACAGCACAATTCAGTTTCCTAAGAACAAAATTTTTAAACTTACTGTATCAATGCCTTAACTCAGTTTCCCTTCTCCATGTCTCACTCTCATTAACTTTTGTTGTCTGTGATTTTTTTTTTTTTTAGACAGAGTCTAGTTCTGTTGCCAGGCTGGAGTGCAGTGGCACGATCTCGGCTCACTGCAACCTCTGGCTCTCAGGTTCAAGCGATTCTCCTGCCTCAGCCTCCCGAGTAGCTGGGACTACAGGTGCGTGCCACCACGCCCGGATAATTTTTTGTATTTTTAGTAGAGACAGGGTTTCACCATGTTGGCCAGGATAGTTTCGATCTCCTGACCTTGTGATCCGCCCGCCTCGGCCTTCCAAAGTGCCAGGATTACAGGCGTGAGCCACCGCACCCGGCCTGTGTGTGATTTTATGCAGGCTGGACACCAGTATCCTAGAGTAAGATGATCTGGATTCTATCCTGATAAACTGGGTCAAACAGGTACTCATCTGATGCAGGTGAAACTCCAGTGCAGGAACTTCCATGACAACTTTAAACATAATTTTAATTGGAATGATCTACTTTTACGTTTCTTTAGATATGAACACCAATTTTTCTCTTAATCTTCTGTTAACTAATTTCTTGGTAATGTACTCAAAAATAGCTTTTCAACCAGTCTTCCAATGTAAGAAGTTATTACGATGCTATTACTTTCCCTTATACTGCACACTTTGCTCAGCAATGAATTGATCCCTGATTTACACATTGTGCTGAACTCTCACATCCTAAATATATTTATTCTTTTGGAATTTTAGGTATTTGGAAAATATTGAAGCGTTGGGGAGATTAAAGAGAATAAACACAACATTAGCAGACTCAACTACAATCCACAGAGGAAATAACTAAATAAGTTGCTATTTTAAACAATTTAAGCAAATAGGAGGAAGGGATTATTTCAGAACTCACAGTATGTATAGGCAAGAAAATAACTGAAGCAGTGATGCTTAAAAAGACTTGGTGAGGGTTAATACTTGAATCCCTATAACATACAGTATTTTATAGTATTTGACGTCACAGGTGTGCAGGTGAGCATGGATAACCAGTTTTCTTCTCTAAGCAACCAATAAGAATGTTAAAACAGAAATAAGACTTCATATAATATAGTGAAAGACTGAAAGCATTGTCTTACGACTACTGTATTATTTAAAGAACTACATCTGTATCAATCAAATGTGGCAGGACGGGATGTACAGTTCAATACTGGGGGTGCAAGATTTTAAAATGAGGAACAGGCCAAAATCTAAACACAGAATCGTCCAAAAAAAAAAAAAAAAGGCCTTCAAGTAGAACAAGTTTTCAATAACAAAACATGGTAGTTGAACGCCTGCGTCTAGTTACGAGTTGGGGAAAAACATTAATTGCAGATTAATGAAACAGATTCTGTGCGAGGTCAGGGTAGGGAGTGATGGCGCGCGGGAGCGGAGGAAGAGCCGGTTTCGCCGTCCCAGAAAGCGTTCCACGTCCACACGCCCGCACTGCGGCCCTGCGGCGAGGGTTCAGACCTCTCCGTTTCCCTTCACCATTCTAAACGCGCAATCCCGCTAAAATCCCGTTCACTCCAATTCCTGGAAAGAAGCTTACAACGGTGAATCTCTTCCCTGGAGTTGAAAATCAACTTCCAGTGCCGGTCACCGAATCCGTCAAAAATCCTATCCCTCTCGGGCCCAATTCCTAAAGAATTCAAGCCTGCACCCTGTAGACCCTGAGCGATCTCAGATCATCCCCACACCGCTCCCAGCCTCCCCAGCTCTAAGCGCCGCCGCGTGGCTCAGCGCTGCCCTCTCCGGGCTCTGAGGGCCGCGCACAACGCCCCGCCCCCGGCGAGCGTGGCGGAAGTAGCTCGCCCGGGCTGAGAGACCGCGCGCCACCTGGCAGAGCGCGCATGCGCCCGCACAGCCAGTGCTGGGGGCGTCCGTATCGCTAACTCCTCAGTCTCCGCAACCCCCGCCTCACCGAGAGTCAGGCTCACGCCATCTTGCACCCCCTTCCCCCCCGTCACACAGCCGAGTCACCTTTTCCCTTTCTTACACTCCACACTCTCGGCCCCCCCACCCCGCCCCTTTCCAAGCGTGTCCCGGGCCGCAGCAGCAGAAATCGCACCATCTCCACCCCCCACATTCTCCTCGCAGGAAGCGCAGCCGTGCCTACAAGGGTTCTTAAAGCAGAGGTTGTGGGGCGTGCGGGGGGCGGTGCGGGGGTGCGGGCGGGGGAGACGTCCGAGAGCCGGGAGGGACGCAGCGCGGAGATCCCAGCGTCTCTGGGCCCCCGCGCCGGCCACGCCCTGGTCCCGGCTCTAGGGCGGCCGCCTGGGTCTTCGGCGTCTACGCGGGAGTGTTGAAGGGAGGGCGGCTGTGGGAGGCGCTGACCGGGCGCAGCGCCCTGGTTCTGCTGCCGATTGTGGAGTTGCCTCTCGACTCCTCCCTGTTGGCTGGTGGGCGTGGGGTGAGGGGGATTGGGCTGTGCTAAGGAGCGGGGTGCGCGGGTCGTCTAGGTAGTGTTGGGGGTTGCCGGGGGAATCATTAAAGAGGGAAATTGTTGCTTTATGGCACGGCGAGAGAAGAGTTAGGTAGTTAGTGGGAGTGTAGCATCCAGAAAGAGGAGAAGATCCGCTGTGTTCTCTCTGGGGTGAGCTCACGTCTGTGGCCCCTGGGGAAATTATGTAGCTTGTCTTTGCCTTGTTTTGGTCTGTAAAATGGCGATCTTATAGCCTAGTTCAGAGTTATCAGGGTTATATGAGAAAATACACGTTAAACGCCTAGAACAACGCCAGGTGCTGCTCAGTACATTTTAGCTCTGCTTTTGCTCTCCATGTTTTAGGAGTTCAGAATGACTGTGACCTTATCTTCTCAGAGAATGAGGACATTTGGTCTCACAAGTGAGAGTGAAGTTATGAAGACAGTGATATGTAATATTTGACACTCAGACGATCCTGGACATGTTATTACTGTACACGTGGATAAATTGGCATTTCTCCACGAGGTTAATAGAAATGTTAAATTATTTCGGTAGAAAGAAATGTGTGTGTGTATATATGTGTATATATGTATGTATAGTGTGTATATTTATATATGTATTTGGAAGGAGAGGACCTGGGGTCTTAATATATGTAAAGGGCAGACTTTGGAAGAGGAATTAAATTCGCCCTGCAAAGATTTACTTGAAGGACAGAACTTGGGGAATTTCTGGTGAATGTTTCATAGAGGCTGAATTTGACTATGAGGAACAGTTCGTGAGAGTACTTTTCTAGAATGGAATGCACTTCATTGTGCTATTGAAAGTTTCTTATCTCAGGATATTCGGGACATTGGAGCGAAGTGTGCCTAAGTCTAGGCTGCACTTTTCAGTAGCAGTTTCTGCCTTGGTGGAGATGTTCCATAATCTGTGCCTTTAGGCACTAGTGGTAGCCTAGGCACAGTGGCTCTTCAGCACTTGAAATATGATAAGTGTCACTGAGGAAGTTAATTTTTAATTTGTTTCGTAAATTAATTAATACATTGATTTACGTTTAAATACCAACGTGTGGCTAGTGATGGCTACTGCATTGGGCAGCACAGGTCTACAGTTTAGATGTTGAGAGTCCTTCCGAGTCTTGATATGGTTGAGTTTCAAATCAGAGAAGCCAGCTCTTTGGAACATTTGTTGGCTTACGGAATTGTAATTCTATTCAAATAATGCCTTTCATTCAAATACTGCAGTTCAGACCTTGGGTCTGTTAGTACTTATTTACATCTTGACAAATTAAAGCAAAACGTTCTTTTGTCTCCTAGGTTGTACGGGTAATGCCAGATCCAAAGAGCTATGACAGTATTAACTGGAGTTTTCTTTAAGCATTATGGTACTATTTTGTGATTTTTGGTTTTTATCTTTTACTACTTTGGTTGGTTTTCAGTGAGAAGTTTCCAGCTCTTTTATTCAAGTTTTTTTTTCTTTTTTAACCTTTCGTGTAATAAAGCTATTTGAAAAATTATAACTGTTGAGCATTAGGACATTTTAGAACTAGTTTTGTGGTTATCCAAGTCTTTTGGAGAGATAAGTGAAATTAGGTAATAGATGTTTCACAAAATTGCTTTCCTTGAAATATGTGCATCTTTTTTTTAAGTAAGTCTATATAAAGTCAAATATGAAAATAAAACTAAAAGAACAAACAACCTTCATAGGTAGCGGTAGCACCCTTAACCCTGGCCTGATGTCTGTAAAATGATGCCCTTGGGTCAGGCACGTTGGCTCATGCTTGTAATCACAGCACTTTGGGAGGCTGAGGCCACAGGATCTCTTGAACCCAGGAGTTCAAGGCTGCAGTGAATCATGGTCAGGCCAGGCCTTCCAGCCTGGGCTATAGAGGGAGACCCTGTCTCTTAAAAAAAAAAAAAAAAAAAAAAAAAAAAAAAAAGATGCTCTTGGTCTTAAGGCTGAAGATAATGGTTAGATCTGGAACAATAACTTAAAGCCTACGAATTAAATCAGATGGAGAGAATAGCTCATAATATGCAAATCAGAATGGGGTGCTTTTATGGGTGACCATAATATCTTAATTTTTCTGAGACAGTCATGGTATAAAGCCTGATTGTTCCAGCACAATTATTTAATTTAATAGAACCCCTTTCACTATCAAAAATGTTCGAATTGGGACCACATAATAATGTCACCCTACTGTTAGCCTTCTTGGAACTTGTAATATATAGTTTTAGGACAATTAACCACATTGCAATATCAGAAATACTTTATTATTATTTTTGAGACGGAGTTTCGCTCTTGTTGCCCAGGTTAGGGTGCAATGGTGTGATCTCAGCTCACTGCAACCTCCGCCTCCTGGGTTCAAGCGATTCTCCCTCCTCAGCCTCCTGAGTAGCTGGGATTACAGGCACATGCCACCATGCCCAGCTAATTTTGTATTTTTTGTAGAGATAGAGTTTCACTGTGTTGGCCAGGCTGGTCTTGAACTCTTCACTTCAAGTGATCCACACGCCTCATCCTCCCAAAGTACTGGGATTACAGGTGTGAACCACTGCGCGCGGCCAGAAATATACTTTAAAACAGTGACAAAATTACTGGCGCACGGCCAGAAATATACTTTAAAACAGTGACAAAAATTACTGTTGTTGTGTCTAAATAATAAATGAGATACCTGGAATAAGGCCAGCAAGTGACTTTCCCATGTAAGCCACTGATAATTTAAAATTTTGCTTTGGATAGAAATCTTTAGCAGCTTGAGTTTTGGTTCCCTCTGGAAGAAAATTATCTTTTGGTGGGGGTGACTGCAAAGCATTAGTCTATGTCAGTCAAATCAGGAGATTGAGTATTTGTGTTGAAATAACACTGATTTTATTTTATGGTAAGGTTGAATAGTGAAATCCATCAGAAATCTGATTATGTATTAGAATGTTAAAGACGGGTTTTACTTACAGTTACTTAAATAATGAAAAATAACTCAGCTACATGCATTATTAAGTTTATACTGAAGTGGGTAAAATATTTTATTGAGGCTCTAACACTTGATTTGAGTTCTCACTCAGCTGCTTCCTAACCATGTGATTTGGGACAAATTATTTAATCTTCCTAAGAATACTCGGTTCCTCATTTATAAAATGAAGATGGCGATGGCTTCTGCTTCTAGGTTCATAAGAGGTTAATTTAAATAACTCATGTGATGTGTTGGGTGCAGTTCAGTAACTATTAGCTGCTGTAGCCTTAAGTTTATTGGATAATCTAGAAGTGATAATAACGTTCTGAGATGTTCTGTGGGTTGGTGAACAGAGCACTAAGACGCAATTCTGTAAACCTAGCTTTTGCCCTTTTCTGCCACATTTTGTCATTTCAGTTAAGGTATTTAACTTGTTAATATCGGTGCCTCAATTTCCTTATCAGTAAAATAGAATTAGTACCCAACCTCATCCCACCTTCTCATAAGACTGTTGGTGGCATCAAATGAGAATAACGTTTAAAAATTGTTGTCCTTACAAACATTTTTATGTTGAATTGGTTTTGTCTCGTCTACCTACAGCCTCCACTAAAGAGTGACCTGCAGAAGTTGTTCCGCAAATTTTGTGTAACAGCATAGATAGTGTATAATAGGCACTATTACTGAAGACAGTTCTCTTTTACAAATAATATTGTAAGTCACAGGCCGGGTGTGGTGGTTCACGCCTGTAATCCCAGCACTGTGGGAGGCTGAGGTGGGCGGATCACTTGAGGTCAGGAGTTGGAGACCAGCCTGGCCAACATGGTGAAACCCCATCTCTACTAAAAATACAAAAAATTAGCTGGGTATGGTGGTGCATGCCTGTAGTCCCAGGTGCTCAGGAGGCTGAGGCAGGAGAATCTCTTGAACCCGGAAGGCGGAGGTTACTATGAGCTGAGAACGTGCACTGCACTCTAGCCTGGGTGACAGAGTGAGACTCTGTCTCAAAAACCAAACACACACACAAAAATAATATTTTAAGTCACAGTAATGGTGCTTTTTTGATCTGGTCACAATATATTTTCTACAGAAAACAACCCCATACTGCTAAGGAAGAACGAACATTTTCTTGGGCACTTACTTGATGTGTTCTTTCCATTGTATCTCATTTATCCAAACATATTCCCACCGAATAGGTTGTACTAATGAGGCTCTTACTTTCTAGAATGGGTCTGTCAGGCTTTTTTGTACTGTAGTTCTCCCTTTGAAAATATCTGGCCCTTAGTTAATGGGTAGTGAAGGTTAAATAAGATCATGAACATGAAAATAGTGGCTGGCTCTGTGACTCATACCTGTAATACCAGCACTTTGGGAGGCTAAGACATGTCCAGATTGCTTGAGCCTAAGAGTGAGGGCAATATAATGAGACCTAGTCTCTACAAAAAATTTAAAACAAAAATTAGCTGGGCCGGGTACAGTGACTCACACCTGTAATCCCAGCACTTTGGGAGGCCTAGGCGGGTGATCACCTGAGATCAGGAGTTTGAGACCAGCCTGGCCAACATGGTGAAACCCTGTCTCTACTAAAAATACAAAAATTAGCTGCATGTCTTGGCATGTACCTGCTGCTTAGTAGGCTGAGGCACCAGAATTGCTTGAACCCTGGAGGCGGAGGTTGCAGTGAGCCAAGATTGTGCCGTTACACTCCAGCCTGGGTAACAGAGCAGAACTCCATCTCAAAAAAAAAAAAAAAAAAAATGTAGCCGAGC